GTGTGGATCTACATGTGAGTCTGTGTGTCTCTAAGGGAGTGTGTGTGGATCTACATGTGAGTCTGTGTGTCTCTAAGGGAGTGTGTGTGCATCTACATGTGAGTCTATGTGTCTATAAGGGAGTGCGTGTGGTGCTCGCTAACAGCACTTGCCCCAACAACCTGTTCAGGTTATAGGGGGGGGCGGGAATCTTAGTTTTTGTATGGGTCGATGGTATCCGTGCAGGTCTATGGGTCTCTATGTACATCTATGGCTCTCTATGTGGGTGGACCGTATCAATGTAGACCTATATGTTAGTCGATGGGGTTGTAAGTCTATGGGTGAGCAATTTGGGTCTGAGTCTCTCTCTCAGTCTATGCATCTCAGTGCATATCTGTGGGTCTCTATGCAAGTATATTGATCTCTATGTACGTCTATGAGTCTCTATGTCTGTCTACGGGAGCTATGCAGGTCTATGGGTGTCTATGTAAGTCTGGGGGGGGGGGTCTGTAAGTCTACGGGAGTGGATATGGGTCTATATCTGAGTTTATAGATCTCTGTGTAAGTCTGTGGATGTCTATGCAGCTATATGCGTCTCTATTTCAGTCTATGAGTCTGTATGCACGCCTATGACACACACACACACACACTCAATCATCCTCTGTAAAGTCTGAACAGACTTTTGGGGGCAAGTGCTGTTAGAAAGCACCGATGAAGGTTGGCAAGGTGCACGCCAGGGTTGGTGGTGAGCATCACGCCCGGCCGCCTTTGTCTCCCCCCACCCCCCACCCCCCCCCGGCGATGTTTACTACACAACACCAGGCACCTAGGGGAGATCCCCGGACTTATTTTTGGTGACCGTGAGCGGGGATCGAACTAGAGTCGCCGGGTTCCAAGCGCGGCGTGGCGCTCCACCGCCCCGCGTTCACACGCGGGCATCGAATGGCCTCGACCCATGAACCCCCGCGCGTGAGCGGGCACACACCGGAGCACATGGAGGGCTCTTCGGCTGTCTCTGTCAGACTCCTTCACTCTCATCTCAACAACCTCCACGGGGACATGTGTCCGGTAAGAGCAGCGACATCGCCATCGGCATTAACAACACCAACATCATCATCATCATCGGCATTAACAACACCAACATCATCGACATTAACAACACCAGATTCCAAATATACAGCAGGCGTCAGGGTCGGGATCGAACCCACGACCTCCTGTATACCAGGCGAGGTAGTTCACATCTTATAGCCCCTGTAGGGCCCTCAGTGTATGCAAGTTGAACTTCGTTTGCACCGTACGTGGCCAACCGTGCTAATCGGAGGTGCTTCCACTCTGTGGTAGCAGTGGTTAGGGTTGGTGGATCGCACACACGGATGTTTGTGGAACTCCCTTTTCCGTGGGCGTCGAGGAGGCGTACCCTGGGGCTTGCCAGGAAAAGGCGTGACAGACAAAAAGTGCGTGGACTAATCTCCATCTGTTCCTGCACGCTTCCCGTGGGCGCTGGAATGCGCAAAAAATCGTGGAGAGATGAACGTTGCGAGTCACACTGAGAGGCAGAGAGGAGCACGTGGTGTAGAGGACACATGCAGGATAGACATCACCACCACCACCACCACATTGATCTTCATCCAGCAGTGGATAGACCGTGATGATGGTGGTGATTACACTGATGAGCACGTGGAGTAGAGACATCACCACCACCATCCACAGCGCTCAGGGGAGTGGGGCCTGGGCAGGACGCGTCAGCACGGCTCGGGGGAACGACGACGATGATGACGACGATGGCGATGATGACGTTGATGATGACGATGATGGCGATGATGACGACTATGATGGCGATCATGGTGACGATGATGATGACGATGACGACGATGATGATGGCGATGGCCCACGACGGTCGAGACTCATCGCGGAGCGTGGCCGAGAGGACGCCCGTGGGACCCTTTCTTTGCCGGTATGATGAAGAGAAAAATAATAAATCGACTTTTAGCCTTTCCGACCAATAATACAGAAGAGTGGGACCTCCCTTGCCAGTATATCAAAATATAAGAATAGTTTTTACCCTTTCTGGCCGTAATAACACAGCTACGTTCAGATGTTAAAACACTAAAAAGACAATGCATATACTATCAGAGCATGTTTTGTTTGTTTGTTTGATTGCATGTTCCAAAGTACGTGTGGTTAACGCAGACGTGAATCCTTGCAAAAGGTTTGAGACTCTGCCAAGTCAAGCCAAGCAAGCTACAACGACAACCCCCCCGTCTCGACCGCTCAGTGGTTTTACCCTATGGTAGCTTTGAATGGCAGACTCTACCACAGGGTAGAACCACGGACCGGTGACGGGGGGGGTGGTGGGACGCTGCGTCTCAGCCAACAGCACGGAGGCGCCGCCACTTGGGGGGGTACAGCAAGTGGGACGGGGCACAACGCGGCCCGGACGCTCGTCGCCGCACAGGTTAGCGGTCGGCATTCCAGCGGCCGCCCCGGTAAACACCCGCGGGTGTAAATATTTAGGGGCACCGCGCTGTCGTCTGCCGCCTGCCGCTCACGGCGGACGACGTCGTTGGCGGGAGAGTTCGGGCCGTCGTGGTGCACCACGGGCGAATTTTCCAAAACGCACACCCAAAAAAAATATACCACTAGACCGCCACGATCACAGCCCGCACCGCGGCAATCATCGCCCGCCGCCCAGGGTCGTCACCAATTCGCCGTGTCACCCTAGGGGCGGCTCTGCACCCATCACCCACTCTCTCTCTCACTCATACTCGCTCACTCTCGAGTCCTCACCTGGTCTCTTGTAGGCCTCACCTGGTCTCTTGTAGGCCTCACCTGCTCTCTTGTAGGCCTCACCTGCTCTCTTGTAGGCCTCACCTGGTTACGCAATAATAAACTTGATCTCCGCGTGAATCACGTGACAGCGAGCGGTGTGGAGCGACTGTCGGTGGTGGCCGCGCCTGGCTGGGGTTGCGCGTCCGGTCCCCGCCAGCGGAGTGACCAAGTCGGTCATCCTGACTGGCGGTGGTGGCGCAGCGGGGACCTGGATTCGATTCCTGACTCGGGCGCCTTGTAGCATGGAGTTTGTGTGTTCTCCCTCCCCCTGCTATGCAGTGTGAGTGGAGTTTGTATGATCTCCCCCTGTTCTACAGAGTGAGTGAGTGGAGTTTGTATGATCTCCTCCTGTTCTACAGAGTGAGTGAGTGGAACTTGTGTGATCTCCCCCTGTTCAACATAGTGAGTGAGTGGAGTTTGTATGATCTCCCCCTGTTCTACACAGTGAGTGGAGTTTATCTGATCGCCTCCTGTTCTACAGAGTGAGTGGAGTTTGTCTGATCTCCCACTGTTCCACACAGTGAGTGAGTGGAGTTTGTATGATCTTCCCCTGTTCTACAGTGAGTGAGTGGAGTTTGTGTGTTCTCCCTCCCCCTGCTATGCAGTGTGAGTGAGTGGAGTTTGTATGATCTCCCCCTGTTCTACAGAGTGAGTGAGTGGAGTTTGTATGCTCTCCCCCTGTTCTACAGAGTGAGTGGAGTTTGTAAGATTAAGTGAGTGGAGTTTTCGTGATCTCCCCCTGTTCTACAGAGTGAGTGAGTGGATTCATAATAAAGGTTTTTGGGTTTATTATGAATAATATTGGTCGCGAAAGCCTACGTGTTAAACTGAGTGAGTGGAGTTTGTATGATCTCCTGTTGTACAGAGTGAGTGAGTGGAGTTTGTATGATCTCCCCCTATTCTACACAGTGAGTGAGTAGAGTTTGTATGATCTCTCCCTGTTCTACAGAGTAAGTGAGTGGAGTTTGTATGATCTCTCCCTGTTCGATACAGTGAGTGAGTGGAGTTTGTATGATCTCCCCCTGTTCTATACAGTGAGTGAGTGGAGTTTGTATAATCTCCCCCTGTTCTACACAGTGAGTGAGTAGAGTTTGTATGATCTCTCCCTGTTCTATAGAGTAAGTGAGTGGAGTTTGTATGATCTCCCCCTGTTCTATAGAGTGAGTGGAGTTTGTATGATCTCCCCCTGTTCTATACAGTGAGTGGAGTTTGTATGATCTCCCACTGTTCCACACAGTGAGTGAGTGGAGTTTGTATGATCTTCCCCTGTTCTACAGAGTGAGTGAGTGGAGTTTGCGTGTTCTCCCTCCCCCTCTTATGCAGAGTGTGAGTGAGTGGAGTTTGTATGATCTCCCCCTGTTCTATTCAGTGAGTGGAGTTTGTATGATCTCCCCCTGTTCTACACAGAGAGTGAGTGGAGTTTTTATGATCTCTCCCTGTTCTACAGAGTAAGCGAGTGGAGTTTGTATCATCTCCCCCTGTTCTACAGTGTGAGTGAGTGGAGTTTGTATGATCTCCTCCTGTTGTACAGAGTGAGTGGAGTTTTCGTGATCTCCCCCTGTTCTGCAAAGAGTGGTCTCCAGGTTCTGCCAATTTCCTCCCACAACGAAAAAAAAAAAAAAATCACAAACATCATCAATCTCGGTTCGAAGTTGCAAAAATATAATTTTTAAAAATTACCCACAAATCACTTCGCATAGCAATCACCGGCCACGACTGGCTGCAGGTGAACGTCCGAGCCAGGTGCAAGATCACCTTGGGCTGCACAGGGACAGCTGCCTATAGGGAGCCTGTTGTTACACCCACTCATTCAATCACTCACCCACCAACCCACCCACTCATTCATTGACTCACCCACCCACACATTGATCCACCCACAAATTCATTATTTCACTCACCCACACATTCAATAGCTCACCCACCAACCCACCCACCCACACATTCCATGAATTCCCCCACCCACAAATTCGACCACTCAACCACCAACGAACCAACCCACCGACACATACATTTACTCACCCACACATTAATACACTTACACATTCACTCACCCACACAACCACTCACCCACCAACCCACACATTCATTCCTCCACCCACACAATCACACACTCACCCACCCACACAATCACGCACTCACTAACCCACACATTCATTCCCCCACCCACACATTCGTTCCATCACTCAACAACCACAACAACTACCGGTTCACCCCTAAGTGGCGGTAACGTCACCACGGCGCTTGTGCCAGGCTACGTGCACTTCCAATCACTCGCCCACACCCACACATCCCAGCGCCGCAAATCGATTTCCGTTCATCCGAGCGTCCGTCTCTTTAACCGCCCGCGGCGCCGGGCGTCTCTTCGGACGCCCCCCTTTCTGCTGCCGCCCCTGAGCGGGGGGCCCCGGTGCGGAGGGCTCCGGTGCGAGGACCCCTGCGAGGGCCCCCGTGAGGACACCGTGGAGGGCTAGGGCGTCCTCGGAGCCCGCGAGGATGCCCGTCGGGGTGAGGGTGCCGGAGCTGAGCAAGTCGGAGACGGCGTGGACGAGCGGGCCGTGATAGAGCCTGCGGACCGCACACGGCACACGCGGCAGCCAGGCTCTGTCTACTGCTGGGGTACTTAGGCTCACACAGAGACCCATAGACTCACACAGAGACCCATAGACTCACACAGAGACCCATAGACTCACCACAAAGAAACCCATAGACTCACCACACAGAGACCTATAGACTCACACAGAGACCCATAGGCTCACACAGAGACCCATAGACTCACTCACACAGAGAGCCATAGACTCATCAGACAAAGACCCATAGACTCACCACACAGAGACCCATAGGCTCACACAGACCCATAGACTCACACAGAGACCCATAGACTCACATAGACCCATAGACTCACACAGAGACCCATAGACTCACTCACACAGAGACCCATAGACTCACTCACACAGACCCATAGACTCACATAGACCCATAGACTCACACAGAGACCCATAGACTCACTCACACAGAGACCCACAGACTCATACTCTTTGGTTATTTCGGTAAAGTCACGTAGTTAGAAATAAAATAAAATTAACCACGACTTTTTTTTCCTGATTACGACCGCTTGTCTTGCGATTGAAACGTCGTGATTTGTTTTATTTTATTTTTCTACCCACGTGATAACTTTACCAAAAGAAACAAAGAGTGTGGATTCCTGCAGTTACGAAAACTTTAAATCAAGATTGACCCACAGACTCATCACACAGAGATCCAGACTCACCACACAGAGATCCATAGACTCATCACACAGAGATCCATAGACTCACTACACAGAGATCCATAGACTCACACAGAGACCCATAGACTCACACAGAGACCCATAGACTCACACAGAGACCCATAGACTCACATAGACCCATAGACTCACACAGAGACCCATAGACTCACTCACACAGAGACCCACAGACTCATACTCTTTGGTTATTTCGGTAAAGTCACGTAGTTAGAAATAAAATAAAATTAACCACGACTTTTTTTTTCCTGATTACGACCGCTTGTCTTGCGATTGAAACGTCGTGATTTATTTTATTTTATTTTTCTACCCACGTGATAACTTTACCAAAAGAAACAAAGAGTGTGGATTCCTGCAGTTACGAAAACTTTAAATCAAGATTGACCCACAGACTCATCACACAGAGATCCAGACTCACCACACAGAGATCCATAGACTCATCACACAGAGATCCATAGACTCACACAGAGACCCATAGACTCATCACACAGAGACCCACAGACTCATCACACAGAGATCCAGACTCACCACACAGAGATCCATAGACTCATCACACAGAGATCCATAGACTCACCACACAGAGATCCATAGACTCACTACACAGAGATCCATAGACTCACACAGAGACCCATAGACTCACACAGAGACCCATAGACTTACCACACAGTGACCCATAGACTCACTACACAGACACCCATAGACTCAGCACACAGACACCCATAGACTCAGCACACAGACACCCGTAGACTCACCACACACAGACACCCATAGACTCACCACACACACAGACACCCATAGACTCACCAAACACACAGACACCCGTAGACTCACCACACACACAGAGACACCCATAGAACTCACCACACACAGAGACACCCATAGACTCACCACACGGGGGTGTGGGTGCTGTCGGTAGGGGTGGGACAACTCTACAACGACCACGATTAATCCAACGTGCAAGGGGCGGGCACCAACCTGCTGAGCTCCGGCTCGGGCAGGGGAAGCATGAGGGCCTGGTTGAGGCAGAGCGCGGCGTGCAGACAGCTCTGCCAGCACGCCAGCGCGTGGGCCGTGCGCAGGGCGACGCGCGCCAGCGGGCAGGGCAGGCTCACCGTGGCCAGCACGGCCCGCGTCGCCTCGCCTGCTCAGCAGCGACACCAGGGGGGGCGGGGGAGGGGGGCTCGTCACGACATTCACTCGCAAGCTCAGGAACTCGCTTACCCACCCGCTCGGCCACTCACCCACGCACTCATCCACTCACCCACTCGCGCATCTACCCACCCAACTTACCTAGCCACCTACTCACCAACCCATCAACCCATGGACTCACCCACCCGATCACCCGCTCACCAACCCATCCACCGACCCACTCACCCACCCACCCGCCCACCCACCCGCCCGCCCGCTCGCCCACTCACCCACCCACTCACCCACCCACTCACCCGCCCGCCCACCCGCCCGCCCACCCGCCCGCCCGCCCGCCCGCCCGCTCGCCCGCCCGCTCACCCATCCACCCATCCACCCACCGCCGAGGTGCCCACACACGAGGTGTATGAGCAGCGCCTGAGCGACGTGTTTGGCCGCCCACCCGTGCCCTCGTGCAGCGCTGTCCTCGGGGTCGGGCTCCATCCACTGCTGGATGGACGCGACGGCGAGCCGCAGAGTGGGGGGCACGCGCTCCAGGGCCCCCCGCTCCACACCCAGAGCCCTCAGCAGGAAGGAGAGACGCTCCGAGTGGGGGGTCTGAAGGCGAAAAACAAAGACAAAGGTCCCCCGTGTAGCCCCCACGTGGCCTGTGGGGCAAGGGCCGTTAGCGAGCGGCAACGCGAGGCGCGGTGAGGCCAGCGCCACGGCACCCGGCCGCCTTTGTCTCCCCAGCACTCGTGTCTACATGCTGCATGAGATGCTTCTTTTATGGCTGAGTCGACCTAGGGGTGGCCCAGGTCCGGTTCAGGTATTCATCACTCGTGCTCGTTGTGAGAGCGGGAATCGAACTCGGGGTCACTCGGTTCATGGGGGTGGAAGGGGGGGTCTCAAGTGGGGGGGGGGTCTCACGTGGGGGGGGGGTCTCACGTGGGGGGGGTCTCACGTGGTGGGGGGGGGGTTTCACGTGGGGGGGGGGGTTTCACGTGGTGGGGGGGGGTCTCACGTGGGGTGGAGGGGGGGGTCTCAAGTGGGAGGGGGTCACGTGGGGTGGAGGGGGGGGTCTCACGTGGGGTGGAGGGGGGGGGGTCTCACGTGGGGAGGAGGGTCACGTGGTGTGGAGGGTTGGGGGGGTCTCACGTGGGGCACGGTGTGAATGGAGAGCCGCGGTGCCCCCAGGCGGCGAGGGGGCAGCGTTTCCACGGCGAAGCGGCGCAGCGAGCGCCCGTCCCGGTCGAACTCCGTGACCTGGACGGGAGTCGAACTCGGCTTCGGTTCCTCCTCCTCCTCCTCCTCGTCCCCCTCCTCGCCGCCGGGGGCCGGGGCCAGCAGCAGGCCGTACGTCACGCGACGCACGCGCAGGGAGGCGCCGCGGTGTGCGCTTGCCAGCGACTCATCCTCCACCTGTGGTGGCGGTGGTGGCGGTGGTGGCGGTGGTGGCGGCGGTCTTATCCGCATTGTATACGGACCAACCAGGGTTGGTTAACCCGCTCAAGCATTCATCCACTCGCACTCACTCCACTCACCCACCTACCCACCCACCCAACCAACCACTCGCTTCCTTACTCACTCACTCACTCACCCACCCGCTCACTTGCTCACTCACTCACCCACCCGCTCACTTGCTCACTCACCCACCCACCCGCTCGCTCGCTGGCTCGCCCACCCGCCCACTCACCCGCCCGCTCACCCACTTACCTACCCATCAACTCGCACGCCCGGTCCGTCGCTCACTCGCTCACTCACCCACCTACCCATCCACCCAACCCTCACAAACCTCTCGCTCACCCACCCACCCACCTACCCACTTACCCACCTGCTCATTCACTCATTCAGTGACTCACCCACCTATCAACTCACAAACCCGCACACCCGCTCACCCGCTCACCCGCCTGCTCACCTGCACGCGCATGAACACGCATCTCTGGGTGTAGGCGTCCACGATGGCCGGGCAGAGACGGCCGTTCTGCAACGCTACGTCCACCCAGGCCGGCAGGGAGGGAGCCGCACCGTCACTCGCCGGCCACCGCGGCCGTGGTGGTGGTGGTGCCGCTGGTGGGGTTGGTTGTTGTGGTTGCAGTGGTAGTGTTGGTGGTTGTGGTGGCGGTTCTGCTGGGAGGTTGTGTTCGGGTCCTGACAGCAATTCCTCAAATCGCTGGAGATCAACGTCACCGTCGGAATAGTCCTGTGACAGGAGAGAGTCCGCGTCGCCAAAACACACCGTCGTGAGCAACACTCGATCCACTGCTGGACCAAGGCCTCTCCCGGCCGTCGCCAATCTCTCAGGGCGAACCCCGCGACGACGTGACGATCCACCCAGCACCGGCCTCCCCTACTCCACCCCGCGCGCTCATTCAACCGTCGCTCCATCTCCCCCCGGGAGGACGTCCTCCCTCTCGGCACGCGTTCCGCTCCTTGGCTTTCGCTCCGTTTATCATTCCTGACCGTCAAAGCCATCACCGTGCCACCATCGGTAACGCACTGTCCCCCCCCCCCCGCCCGCCCGCCCATCCACTGCTGGATGAAGGAGGCCTCCCCAATTGCCGTGTTGATCACGGTAGTTGCTTGACCGTACTTCATCAGGCTGGTCAGCGCGGGCCATTGACTGCGGTGGGTGGAGAGGGCCTTCGACCGGGTTCAGGTATCACCCGCCACCGATGTTAGCCGTGGCCGGGAATCGAACTCAGGTCGCCGGGTTCGTAGCGCGGTGTGACTGACCGAAGGCGCCACACGTTGGCGAGATGTTAATTACCTCGCCTGATATACAGGAGGTTGTGGGCTCGATCCTGACCCTGACGCCTGCTGCTGCTGTATATTTGGGAGTTTGCGTGTCTCTCTCATCATCATCATCATCATCACGGTGGCTAGGAGATGTTAACTACCTCACCTGGTACACAGGAGGTCGTGAGTTCGATCCCGACCCTGACGACCCCTGCTGCTGCTGTATATTTGGGAGTTTGTGTGTTTGTCTCTCTCGCCGTGGTCGCGTGGATTTTTTCTCCGGGTCCTCCGGTTTTCCCTCCACGTTTAGAATCGACGTCACCGCGCGTTTAGAGTATTTGGCTGCTGCTGCTGTACATTTCCACGTGATGACGATGATGATGATGATAAGCCACTTCGTTGAGGTATCATTTGTGGCCAGGTCACTTTTGAAAACGAGCTACATAGCTCAGCGGGCACTTACCTGTTCAAATAAAAAAACTGTTTAGTTTTAGCTTAAGGCGAATATGGCGGGCGGAGGGAGAAGTTCACGGTTGACAGCAACCGCGGTAGTAGCTACAGAAGAGTGACAAGGAGGTGGGAGCCGTCACCTGCGCGAGGAGCTCGTAGTTGCGCTTGACCGCCGCTCGGTCGCCCGCCTTGGCGCCGGCGACGATCGTCGCCAGCGCCTCCTCCGCGCTCGCAAACTCCGCCAGCCAATCGAGCGCGGCCGCCACCCTCCCTGCCGCCACGCCCCTTCCTGTAGAGACCACGCCCACTTCCGGTTAGAGCCACGACCCCCTGCCACCCCCCCCACACCCCATTGCACGGGTCAGGTTATGCGATTGGCAAAAAGCCGCGATCCGCAAACTCAAGAGGAAGGTACGGCTCAAGGTTGAGCAGCAGGAAGGAGGAGCGCCGGGGAGGAAGGGGAGGAGGAGGGTGAGGAGTGAAAGGGGCACCATGGTCACGTGATGTCAACTACCTCGCCTGGTACGCAGGAGGTCGTGGGTTGGATCGCGACCCGTACGCCTGCTGCTGCTGCTGTATATTTGGAGTTTGCGGGTCTCTCACCCCGCGTTTTTCGTCCTCCACGTTTAGAATCGACGAGTGTTTGGAGTATTTGGCTGCTCTAAAATGTCCACGTGATCATAAGCCACTTCGTTGAACTTTCATTTGTGATGGCCAGGTCGCTTCTCAAAAGAGAGCTATAACTCAGCGGATCTTTGCTGATAAAAGTTTTTTTAAAAAATAGTTTTAATAGTTTAATGTCGGGGGATGAGTGGAGTGGGTGATGAGAGCAGGTGGGGAGGGGAAGTGGGGAAGGAGCGAGGCAGAGCGGCGTCTGCTTTCACAGTGGGTGGCGACGGGGAGAGGGGAGGGGTTTATAGTGGGGGTGGTCACACACAGAAGCCACGTGGTTTACTGGAGGCTTTAGCTGATTTAGAGAGAGATCTAGAGATGAGAGGGGAGGGGTTTATAGTGGGGGTGGTCACACACAGAAGCCACGTGGTTTACTGAAGGCTTGAGCTGGTTTAGAGATCTATAGATGAGAGGGGAGGGGGTTCAGAGTGAGGGTGGTCACATACACAAGCCACGTGGTTTACTGGAGGCTTTAGCTGATTTAGAGAGAGATCTCGAGATGAGAGGGGAGGGGTTTATAGTGAGGGTGGCCACACACAGAAGCCACGTGATTTGAGGTCGAGAGAGTGGGGGGCACCTGTGCAGGCTTTGCTCTTGAGGCCCCGGACGGACACTGGGTCTGTGTGGTCGTTCCCCGCCAGCAGTGGCACCAGCGGCAGCAGCGACGGGTGGAGATCGGAGAACGCGGCACGGAGACGCTCCTGCGGATCACGTGCCGCGTGCACACGCACGTCACACACACACACGCACGTCACATACACACACGCACGTCACATACACACACGAACGTCACATACACACACGCACGTCACATACACACACGAACGTCACATGCACACACGAACGTCACATGCACACACGCACGTCACATACACACACGCACGTCACATACACACACGAACGTCACATACACACACGAACGTCACATACACACACGCACGTCACATACACACACACACGAACGTCACATACACACACGCACGTCACATACACACACACACGCACGTCACATACACACACGCACGTCACATACACACACGCACGTCACATACACACACGAACGTCACATGCACACACGAACGTCACATGCACACACGCACGTCACATACACACACGAACGTCACATACACACACGCACGTCACATACACACACGCACGTCACATACACACACGCACGTCACATACACACACGCACGTCACATACACACACGCACGTCACATACACACGCACGTCACATACACACACACACGAACGTCACATACACACACGCACGTCACATACACACACACACGAACGTCACACACACACACGAACGTCACATACACACACGAACGTCACATACACACACGCACGTCACATACACACACGAACGTCACATACACACACGCACGTCACATACACACACACACGCACGTCACATACACACACGAACGTCACATACACACACGCACGTCACATACACACACACGCACGTCACATACACACACGCACGTCACATACACACACGCACGTCACATACACACACGCACGTCACATACACACACACACGTCACATACACACACGCACGTCACATACACACATGCACGTCACATACACACACACACGCACGTCACATACACACACGCACGTCACATACACACACGAACGTCACATACACACACGAACGTCACATACACACACGAACGTCACATACACACACACACGCACGTCACATACACACACGCACGTCACATACACACACGCACGTCACATACACACACGAACGTCACATACACACACACACGTCACATACACACACGAACGTCACATACACACACGCACGTCACATACACACACGAACGTCACATACACACATGAACGTCACATACACACACGCACGTCACATACACACACACACGCACGTCACATACACACACGCACGTCACATACACACACGCACGTCACATACACACACACACGCACGTCACATACACACACGCACGTCACATACACACACGCACGTCACATACACACACGAACGTCACATACACACACACACGCACGTCACATACACACACGCACGTCACATACACACACGCACGTCACATACACACACGCACATCCGCCCTGGCCACGTAACGGCCCGCACACCGCTGCAGTGTTTGTGTTTACTCTTGATAATTATTGTTCTGCTTGGTAACACAGGAAAGATTTTTTTTTTCTCAGGAGGGTCCTGACAAATTTGCGCATTAGGGGGGGGGCGAGGGCGATGTTCCTGCTGCTGTTCAAATAAACCTATCATTAAAATTATAGACTGATCATTTCTTTGTCAGTGGGCAAACGTACACAATCAGCAGGGGATCAAATACTTTTTTTTCCCTCACTGTAATATGTTTGGAGTTTGTGGTGTCTCTCTCCACGCGATGGCATGGATTTTTCTCCGGGTCCTCCGGTTTTTGCCCACCACATTTAGAATCAGCATCACGCGTTTAGGGTATTTGGCTGCGATTAATTTCCACGTGATAAGTCACGTGATAAGCCACGTGATAAGCCACGTGATAAGCCACTTTGTTGCGCTGTCATTTGTGGCCAGGCCGCTTCTGACAAAAAGAGCTCTACAGCTAAGTGGGCCTTACCTGGTAGAATAAATGTAGAATAAATGTAGAATAAATGTAGAATAAATGTAGAATAAAAGTAGTTCAATAGTTTTATAGACAGCAGGAGTGAGCCTATCGCTCTCTCAGCTCGCCGGAATACCTCGTCTGTCAGCCAGGGTTTCTGGGGAGGTCCGGACTGCGTACCCAATGCAGCCAGTCCTCAACCTCGCCCATTTCCCCTCGGCATCAGGAGGGGAGCACGATGCTAACCCCATATGCAAGCGATGATTCAATTCTCGCTTGCAGCTTTGATCGGCTAGCTGAGACCAGGCCACTGTGGGTTTGAATGGGGTCCTAGGTGGACGCCCACCTAGGACCCCCACCACCGCAGTGGAAGAATGGCAGGCGCATCTTACAGATGGCAAGCCGATAGTCAGTGGCCAGATCAGGCACCACGGTAGGTCCTGGTGTCAAGGACACGGGCCCGCAACCGCTGTTCAGTCACCGTATAGTCCAGCAGATCTTATTGCCTGCACCCAGCATGTGCCACAAACAACGAGAGCCACACACACCGTACACGCAACTCAAGTTGCGTCTCCACTTCTCACTGGGCCCATCAGCACAGGCACAACCGATCATCTCCACGCCGCGTAGATCCACACCTGTCGGAACAAACGAACGGGCAGGAATGCACGGCACGGCTGCTCTTGCTGCTGCTGTTGCTGCTGCTGCTCCTGATGCTGCTGCTGCTCCTGATGCTGCTGCTGCTCCTGATGCTGCTGCTGCTCCTGATGCTGCTGCTGTTGCTGCTGCTGCTCCTGATGCTGCTGCTGTTGCTGCTCCGCCTGCTGCTGTTGTTGCTGCAGCAGCTGCTCTGCCTGCTTTTGTTGCTCCACCTGCTGCAGCTGCAGCTGTTGCTGCTGCTGCTGCTGCCTTGTCCGCTGATGCTTCTGGCGCTTCTGGTGCTTTTGCTTCTTCCCTTGTCGTTCCTGCTGCTTCCCTTGCTGCCTCTCCTCCTCCTTCTCATCGTCCGCCGCCCTCTCCTCCTCCTCCTTCTTCTCCCCCTCCTCCTCCAAGGGCAGCGGCTGGCGCCAGTCCAGGTGCTGCAGGTGCAGGAAGCCCGAGGGCAGCGGCGCCAGGTAGAAGTCGCTGTCGGCGCTGAGCAGGGGGCAGCGCAGGTGGCGGGCGAGGGCGCCGGCGGGCCGGTCGGCCTCGGCAAGGCACACGACGCAGGGCACCGCGCACGCGCGCACGGCTTGCTCAAACACCTCCCTCAGCAGCAGCGGCACCGCCTCGCCACTGGGGACCACCACGGGGAGTGGGCCGGAGAAGGAGGGGGGGGGGGGGAGCAGGAGGGGAGGGGGGGAAGAGGAGAAAAGGCAAGAGGGGGTAAATGGCTGTGGCACGGGCTAGCGAAGAGATGGGCTGATGTGTGAGTGGGTGGGTGAGTGGCACGGGCGATGGGCTGATGTGTGAGTGGGTGGGTGAGTGGGTGGGTGAGTGGCACGGGCGAGAGAAGAGATGGACTGATGTGTGAGTGGGTGGGTGAGTGGGTGGGTGAGTGGGTGGGTGAGTGGCACGCGCGATGGGCTGATGTGTGAGTGGGTGGGTGAGTGGCACGGGCGAGAGAAGAGATGGGCTGATGTGTGAGTGGGTGGGTGAGTGGCACGGGCGAGAGAAGAGATGGGTTGATGTGTGAGTGTGTGGGTGAGTGGCACGGGCGAGAGAAGAGATGGACTAATGTGGTACAAGAGGATCTGGAGCTGAGTGGACCTCTGTGGAGGAGGCTCGCGAAGGAAGCTAATGGGTAGTTGGAGGCGGTCGCCCTCCAGTAACAACGAGCGGAGCGCCGGGTAGCTAAAATGCAGCGAGTTGGCACGGTGGGGGGGAGGGCACAGCTGGTGCATGTACCAGTCATCTCAGTCAACCAATGGCACCTGGGCCTGTTCCGTGACCTCCTGTCAGCGAGCCCTCGACACTCCGTGTGGCCTCAAAGTGCACCTGGCCTGGCACGGGCTCCGTGGTGACGTCACCGCCACTTAGTGGTGAATGGCGCCTGTTGTTGTTGTTGTTGTTGTGTGTAAGCGTGCGTGTACGTGCGTGCAGTGTGTGAATGCGCCCGCAGGTACCGGCTCGCCCCTCTCGCTAGGGACAGGGCGTTGGCGATGCGTTCGTGTGCCCGCGTCACGTGGGTCGCCCTCTTCCTGGGCGCCGAGGCCCCGTCCAGCACCATCAGCGGCTCCACGCGGCACGTGCGCAGCGCGCTCGCCCACGCACGCACCTCCGCCGCCAGCCTGCCGCGGAGACGGGGACAACGTGGCCGCGCCGCTAAGGAGACGCACGGCCCCAGTTTGAACGCGAGTGGCCGACGGCAGTCGGGGCGACCCGGCGCGTGTCCCCCGTGTCTCCCTCACCCCGCGTAGTCGCCCCCGTGTTTCTGGTCGAGCCTCGCTGCGCGGTACAGGTGGTGGCAGAGCGCGTCCCCGTCCACCAGGAGCTGCACGCCGCGGAGCCTCGTGTCCTCGTGGAGATCGGGGCGAGAGTGGATCCACGCGGTGAGGCCTGGCACACCCATCTCACTCCCCCCTCTCTCACTTACGGAGAGACACGGGGGGGGGGGGGCAGGGGGGGGGAGACGAGACATGGGGAGAGACCGGGGGACACAGGGAGACAGGGGGAGACACAGGGAGGGACCAGGGGACACGGGGAGACAGGGGGAGACACAGGGGGAGACCAGGGGACACGGGGAGACAGGGGGAGAGACACAGGGAGAGACCAGGGGACATGGGGAGACAGGGGGAGACACAGGGAGAGACAAGGGGACATGGGGAGACGGGGGAAGACACAGGGAGAGACCAGGGGACACGGGGAGACAGGGGGAGACACAGGGAGAGACCAGGGGACACGGGGAGACAGGGGGAGACACAGGGAGACACCAGGGGACATGGGGAGACAGGGGGAGACACAGGGAGAGACCAGGGGACATGGGGAGACAAGGGGAGACACAGGGAGAGACCAGGGGACATGGGGAGACAGGGGGAGACACAGGGAGAGACCAGGGGACATGGGGAGACAGGGGAAGACACAGGGAGAGACCAGGGGACATGGGGAGACAGGGGGGGACACAGGGAGAGACCAGGGGACATGGGGAGACAGGGGGAGACACAGGGAGAGACCAGGGGACATGGGGAGACAGGGGGAGACACAGGGAGCAACCAGGGGACATGGGGAGACAGGGGGAGACACAGGGAGAGACCAGGGGACATGGGGAGACAGGGGGAGACACAGGGAGAGATCAGGGGACATGGGGAGACAGGGGGAGACACAGGGAGCGACCAGGGCACATGGGGAGACAGGGGCATCTGATAGCTTGAAGGTGAATGCACTACCATACCACCAGCTACCTATTTCCGTAGTATTTGAGTTATAGTGGCACCTGCCCTGCAACATGCACAACTTGTTGCTATAATCTGTAAAGGCTGCGTTCTCCAGCTTCGGCGTGTCTTGAACGCAGCAGCCAGATCACTCGCTGGCACAAGACGATCCGATCCTGGACTCCGGAAGCTCACGCGTGAAGACAACCAATGACCTCCGGTTCAGCAGCATGTGAAGTAACACATTCTCCTGCGGAGGGAGCTGGTAGGAACGTTGGGTTGCTCGCTCAATGGTCAGGGTCAACGGCACCACGTGGTGTATTCCGCAAATGTGCCCCACTGTGACGGCGGGCACAAGCCGGCGTGAGTAGGTGAAACGTTGAGTTTTATAAGGGCACCACGGGGTGACCAGCCCCTCCCCACCCAGCCCCATCCCTCCCACACCCCACCCCACCCCTCTCCACCCAGCCCCACCCCTCCCATTTTTGGATGCACGACGGACGGACGGACACAATAATCCCGTGTGGGCTGCTGGTGGTGATGTAGTAACCAGGAGGTTCCTACCGGTAGTATCACCTCTGGCCTGACTGCGCCCACACGGTGTGGCACCGCCGCCGCTCGTCCGATTTATGCACGGCCCGTAGCCAATGACTGGAAACGACAACGCCTCAGGTCTGCTGCTCCTCGTGGTGATCTCGCTGGCGTCGTTCAACCATACCCCTACCCCCCCGCCTAAAGAACGTACGGCGACGGCGATTTTCAGAAGGAGTGGGCCGCTCCGCCCCCCCCCCCCGCCACATGGAATTCTCTACCCGACTCGCCGCGAGAACGGCAAGAAATTCGTTGAACCACTTCGAGAGAGGCCTTACGATTTATTGGATGCGACACAGCGTGACGAGGCAGCAATGCGCATCAGATATGCTGCTGCGAGCACGATTTTGCGTTTCTTAAATGACTATTTGCATCTCTTAAATGACGATTTGCATCACGCTACATCCCGGGAGAAGCGGAGTTGCCTGCGTGTGTGCGCTTGAGGCCTTGGCAGATCTCATTTGTAAACACCTCGCGCAGATTTTCAACCTCCCACTCCGACGAAGGTGGATTTCCCCACGAGGGTGGCTGCGTGCGGTGCGAAATGAGTTCAACATGCCCCGATGTTTTCCAGCGTCTGTTTATCCATTACCAGATCTATTATTCTAGATTTGAAGTTTTCGTGACTGCAATGATCCATGCTCTTTGGTTCTTTCGGTAAAGTCACGTAGGTAAAAATAACAAAAATATAATCTATCAAATCACGACGTTTCGCAAGCAACACAATCTTCCGTTTGTCCCGCGTGATGACGGAAGCTTGTGTTGCTTCCGAAACGTCGTGATTTGATTAATTTCATCTTTTATTTTTACCTACGTGACTTTACCGAAAGAACCAAAGAGTACGGATCTATTATATTTGTTTGTTTTCCATCCAGGTGTCCCCCATGTCCATTTTCTGGAGTATTTTTTGTTGTTTGAAATTAGTATGACATATGAGCATGTCATGTTTTGAAGCAAATCCTAGCAGTTCCTTGCCTCGTTCATTTCTTTCTCTGCATCCGTACCTTTGCATGACGTGTTCCCATCTGGTAGTATCCTTCCCAATTATTGCATTCCAGTCTCCCACAATTACTTCAATATCTTTCCTAGGCAGATCCTTCCATGCGCTTTCCAGCAATTCTTCAATGTCCTCTTCTGCGCGATCTGATGTTGGTGCGTACATTTGGATGACAGACATAGTTAGGGATTGCCCATTAAATCTCGCGACAATTACCCTTTGGCTAACCGAGCTGTATCCCAATAATGCTGCTTTGGCTTTTGTGTTTAACAGGAACCCTATTCCTCTGGCGTGCACTTGATCTTCACCTGACCAGATCAAGGAGGTGATTACCTGGCCAGGTCGTTTTAGAACAATAAGTTAATACCTCAGTGGGCTTTGCCTGGTAGGATATTGATGGTTTAGTGTTGTATTTGTATGAGTTTGGGTAATTTGTTTATTGTTGTTGTACTTTGCACTCCTATCGTGTTTTTGTATTGTTGCTTGCTGTTGTAGACCCAACACTACCCATAGACCCAACACTGCCCATAGACCCAACACTGCCCATAGACGCAACACTGCCCATAGACTCAACGCTGCCCATAGACTCAACACTACCCATAGACTAACACTGCCCATAGACTCAACACTGCCCATAGACTCACCACTACGCATAGACCCAACGCTGCACATAGACCCAACGCTGCCCATAGACTCAACACTGCCCATAGACTAACACTGCCCATAGACTCAACACTACCCATGGACTCAACACTGCCCATAGACTCAACACTGCCCATAGACTCAACACTGCCCATAGACTCAACACTACCCATAGACTAACACTATCCATAGACTCAACACTGCCCATAGACTCAACACTACCCATAGACTAACACTACCCATAGACTAACACTACCGAAAGACTAACACTGCCCATAGACTCAACACTACCCATAGACTCAACACTACCCATAGACTCAACACTACCCATAGACTCAACACTGCCCATAGACTCAACACTGCCCATAGACTCAACGCTGCCCATAGACCCAACGCTGCCCATAGACCCAACGCTGCCCATAGACCCAACACTAACCATAGACCCAACACTACCCATAGACCCAACACTGCCCATAGACCCAACACTACCCATAGACCCAACACTACCCATAGACCCAACACTACCCATAGACTAACTCTACCCATAGACTAACACTACCCATAGACTCAACACTACCCATAGACTCAACACTGCCCATAGACTAACACTGCCCATAGACTAACACTGCCCATAGACTAACACTACCCATAGACTCAACACTACCCATAGACTCAACACTACCCATAGACTCAACCCTGCCCATAGACTCAACACTACCCATAGACTCAACCATGCCCATGGACTCAACACTGCCCATAGACTCAACACTGCCCATAGACCAACACTGCCCATAGACTCAACACTGCCCATAGACTCAACACTACCCATAGACTCAACACTGCCCATAGACTCAACACTACCCATAGACTCAACACTGCCCATAGACTCAACACTGCCCATAGACTCAACACTGCCCATAGACTAACACTGCCCATAGACTCAACACTACCCATAGAGTCTATGGGTAGTGTTGAGTCTATGGGCAGTGTTGAGTCTATGGGCAGTGTTGAGTCTATGGCATAGACTCAACACTGCCCATAGACTCAATACTGCACCATAGACTCAACACTGCCCATAGACTCAACACTGCCCATAGACTCAACGCTGCACCATAGACTCAACACTGCCCATAGACTCAACACTGCCCATAGACCAACACTGCCCATAGACTCAACACTACCCATAGACTCAACACTGCCCATAGACCAACACTGCCCATAGACTCAACACTACCCATAGACTCAACACTACCCATAGACTAACACTACCCATAGACTAACACTACCCATAGACTCAACACTGCCCATAGACTAACACTGCCCATAGACTCAACACTACCCATAGACTCAACACTGCCCATAGACTCAACACTGCCCATAGACTCAACACTACCCATAGAGTCTATGGGTAGTGTTGAGTCTATGGGCAGTGTTGAGTCTATGGGCAGTGTTGAGTCTATGGCATAGACTCAACACTGCCCATAGACTCAATACTGCACCATAGACTCAACACTGCCCATAGACTCAACACTGCCCATAGACTCAACGCTGCACCATAGACTCAACACTGCCCATAAACTCAACACTGCCCATAGACCAACACTGCCCATAGACTCAACACTACCCATAGACTCAACACTGCCCATAGACCAACACTGCCCATAGACTCAACACTACCCATAGACTCAACACTACCCATAGACTAACACTACCCATAGACTAACACTACCCATAGACTCAACACTGCCCATAGACTCAACCCTGCCCATAGACTAACACTACCCATAGACTAACACTACCCATAGACTCAACACTACCCATAGACTAACACTACCCATAGACTCAACCCTGCCCATAGACTCAACCCTGCCCATAGACTAACACTACCCATAGACTTAACACTACCCATAGACTCAACACTGCCCATAGACTCAACACTACCCATAGACTTAACACTGCCCATAGACTTAACACTACCCATAGACTAACACTACCCATAGACTTAACACTACCCATAGACTCAACACTACCCATAGACTTAACACTACCCATAGACTCAACACTGCCCATAGACTAACACTACCCATAGACTTAACACTGCCCATAGACTCAACCCTGCCCATAGACTCAACCCTGCCCATAGACTCAACACTGCACCTAAGATGAGCACGGTCGGCCACGTACGGTGCGAAAGAAGTTCAACGTACGGTACACACACTACTGTATACGGTACATACTTCTTCAAGGCAACTTACCTCTCGTTCGCGTTGTTAGGCCAAACGCGCCACTCGCGCCGTGAACGCCGAAAGCTTTAAATAAAAAAAGGTCCTTAAAGTTAAAAGTTTATGTGGTTATAGCTCCCGTAAGCTCTTTGAGGGCCGTGCGTGATGACGTCACTTCGTCGGACGCGCCGTGACGTCACGTCGACAGACGTCACTTCTTCGGACGCGACGTCACTTTGTCGGTGCGCGTGCGGAGACGTCGCCGCGCCGACATTTGTAACTTGCGCGGTGACGTCACCGCGCCGGTGTTTTACTGTACGCGTCCGTACTGTATTTGTGGGAGCGGTGGTGCAGCGGTTAGCGCGCTGCGCTGCGCTACGAAGCCGGCGAACCGAGTTCGATTCCCGCTCACGGCCACCACCGACACCACCAGTGACCATTACCTGAACCGACCCTGGGGCCTCCCCTACTGTCATATCTTGTATTTTGATTTAAAGCTTTCGTGACTGCAGGGATTCATATTCTTGGTTCTTTCGGTAAAGTTTCATCAGGTGTGAAAACCACAACAAGAATATTTTATTGTTTTTTTGTTATTTTATTTCTTGTTGTTGTTTTCACACCTGATGATGATTGCTTGTGTTGCAGTCGAAACGTCGTGAGAATTTTATTGTTTTATATTTTTATTATTTTATTGTTTCCCTTCTACGTGACTTTACCGAAAGAACTAAGAATATGAATTACTGCAGTCACGAAAGCTTTAAATCAAAATATTTTGTATTTGTTGTTGTAACGTTCTTACCCCGTGCACCCTTACTGGACATGTGAACAAAAAAAATAGCTTTATAGCTCATCGGATTCCCCCTGCAGTGGCAATAGTATTTCTGATATTGGGTGGTGCTACTAGCTCACAGCACTTGCCCCGACAAGTGTGCCAAGGCTATACGGGGGATCTTTACCTTTGGTGTGTCTATTTGAGTAGTGACGTCACGCCTCGCGCGAGCGGGAGGGGGAGTGTTCATAAAGTGGGCGGATCCAACCTCGATTCGGTCAGGCGTCCGCGATTGGCTCAGGCGGTTGGCGCGAGACGTCGGCGGCGTGCGCCGATTGGCCGAGGGCCCGGTGGCGAGATGACGCGCGGGTTGAAGTTGGACAGTTGGGGGACGGCGCGCGCACAGTGGACAACACGTGAGTCTCAGTCTCTGTCTATCTGTCTCACTGTCTATCTGTCTGTCTCCCTCTGTCTCGCTCTGTCTATCTGTCTCACTGTCTATCTGTCTGTCTATCTGTCTGTCTGTCTATCTGGCTGTCTCAGTCTGTCTCACTGTCTGTCTCATTGTCTCTCTATCTATCTGTCTCACGCCTCTATATCTCACTCCAGTCTCTCTGTCTCCCGTGTCTCACTGTCAGTGATCTCTGTCTCCCCGTGTCTCACTCCAGTCTCTCTGTCTCCCCGTGTCTCACTTCAGTCTCTCTCTCTCTCCCCGTGTCTGACTTAGTCTGTCTCCTTCTGTGTCTCTGTCTCCCTCTGTATCTCTGTATCTCCGTCTCCCTCTGTCTATATATCTGTCTCTCTGTCTCCCCGTGCCTCACTTCAAGTCTCCCTATCTCGGCGTCTCCACGTGTCTGAGTGACTTCCCTGTGGAGTTGTCTCGCAGTGAGTGATTCCCTGTCTCGCTGTGTCGCTGTGTTTACACTTTGTGTGTCCCTCTCTTGTACTCGCCGCGTCTCTCTGCAATTCCGAGTCCCCCCCCACCCTCTCCCCGCATGCCAGTCTCCGTGTTTCCCTGCGAGAAAAAAGAGCTTTATAGCTCATCGGATTCCTCCAGTACAGATACAGCGTTCTGATTCCGTCTCCTCCGTGTCCCCCTCTCCCCACCCCCGGTGTCCCCCTCTCTCTCCCCCCCTCTCCCCACCCCCCCCTCTTCCCACCCCCGGTGTCCCCCTCTCCCCACCCCCAGGGCTCTCTCCGTGCCGCCCTCTGAACTCCTCGCCATGACCTCTCCGGCCGGGCAGCAGGAGGCCTCCTCTCCCGTGCGGACCCTCACGTGCACGGCGCCCGTCAACATCGCCGTCGTCAAGTACTGTGCGTGTACTGCCGCATTGTGTACTGTGCGTGTACTGTGCGTGTACTGTGCGTGTACTGCCACGTGTACTGCCGCGTGTACTGCCGCGTGTACTGTGCGTGTACTGCCACGTGTACTGCCACGTGTACTGTGCGTGTACTGCCACGTGTACTGCCACGTGTACTGTGCGTGTACTGCCACGTGTACTGCCACGTGTACTGTGCGTGTACTGCCGCATTGTGTACTGTGTGTGTCACGTGGACTGTGTGCACGCTACTGTATTTTACGTGCACTGTCTACTGTACTGTGCACACTGTGCACTGAATGTGACTCGTCTACTGTGCTGTGTACTGTATGTGACACGTGTACTGTATTGTGTACTGTCACGTGTGACGTGTACTCTGTGTACTATGTGAACTGTATGTGACACGTGTACACTATTGTGTACTGTCACGTGTGACGTGTGCTGTGTGTACTATGTGTCCTATATGTGACACGTGTACTGTATTGTGTACTGTCACATGTGACGTATGCTGTGTGTACTATGTGTCCTATATGTGACACGTGTACTGTATTGTGTACTGCTACGTGAACTATGTAAACTATATGTGACGCGGGTATTGTTGTGTACTGGCACATGTACCGTGTGTACTGTGAACTGTATATGACACGTGCACTGTATTGTGTACTGTCACGTGTAACGTGTGCTGTGTGTACTTTATTTACTGTATGTGACACGTGTACAGTATTGTGTGCTGTCACGCGTACTATGTGTACTGTATGTATGTGGCATTATTTACAACAGTATAGGCTATTGTTTCTTTGTGCAAGGGTCCACATTTTTCCAATTCGGAGAAATTACAATCACAAGTCACTCAAATTGGATCACACAAAGACAAAGACCTCCCGTGTAGCTTCAACAGACCGTTGGGGCAAGTGCTGTTAGCGAGCAGCACCTATGAAGGCCGACACGGCACACGAGGGGGTGGTTGGCCAGCAACCACGCCCGACCGCCTTTGTCTCCCCAGTGGCGATGTTTACTACACACCGCACCAGGTACTCATTTGAGGCTGAGTCGACCTAAGGGAGGCCCAGGACCGGTTCAGATAATCGTCACTGGTGTTGGCCGTGAGCGGGAATCGAACTCGGGTCGCTGGTTTCGTAGTGCAGTCCACTAACCGCTACACCACCGAGCTTTATAGCTCATCGGATTCCTCCAGCAGTACAACTAAATATTCTGATTCTGATACCCCAACTCATTGATCTACCCCTCTAACGACCCCTATCACTACCCCTATCACTATCACTACTCCAACCACTATCACTACAGCTACCACTATGACTACCCCTACCCCTATCACTACTCCAACCCCTATCACTACCCCTACCACTCCCCTATCACTACCCCTACCACTATCACTACCCCTACCCCTATCACTACTCCAACCCCTATCACTACACCTACCACTCCCCTATCACTACCCCTACCACTATCACTACCCGTACCACTATCACTATCACTACCCCTATCACTACTCCAACCCCTATCACTACCCCTACCACTATCACTACTCCAACCACTATCACTGCACCTACCACTATCACTACCACTACCCCTATCACTACACCAGCCACTATCACTACTCCAACCCCTATCACTACCCCTACCACTATCACTACTCCAACCACTATCACTACTCCAACCCCTATCACTACACCTACCACTACCCCTATCACTACCCCTACCACTATCACTACCCCAACCCCTATCACTACTCCAACCCCTATCACTACCCCTACCACTGTCACTACTCCAACCACTATCACTACACCTATCACTATCACTACCACTACCCCTATCACTACACCAACCACTATCACTACCACTACTCCTATCACTTCCACTACCCCTATCACTACTCCAACCCCTATCACTATACCTACCACTATCACTACTCCAACCACTATCACTACCCCTACCACTACCCCTATCGCTACTCCAACCACTATCACTACCCCTACCACTACCCCTATCACTACACCAACCACTATCACTACTATCACTACCCCTACCACTATCACTACCACAACACCTATCATAACTCCTACCACTATCACTACACCAACCCCTATCACTACACCAACCACTATCACTACTACTACCACTATTACTACTCCAACCACTATCACTACCACAACGTCTCCACCAACCCTGGAAAGTCTCCTGTCACCACAACTACACCACCAATTTTAATAACAACAACAACCCCACCACTTTTGTATTATCTCAACCGCTACCATCTTGCGTATAATTTCATGATTGTTGTAAAGCACCTTGGAATAAGGCGTTGCTACACGTAAATATAAATCTACATGAGGCGACAAGATGAGATTTGAGGCAACGTGATGGCTAATTGTGCCCGCTGTGTCTCCCGCAGGGGGCAAACGCGATGAGCAACTCGTCCTGCCCATCAACTCGTCCCTGAGCGTGACGCTGCACCAGGACCAGGTGAGCAGGAGGTGGAGGAGGAGAGGGGAGGAGGAGGAAGAGGAGGAGGAGGGAGGAGGGGAGAAGGGAGGAGTAGGAGGGAGGAGGAGGTAGGAGGAGAGAGCAAAGTGAGGAGGTGACGCAAATTCGTGAAGCGTTCCATATTTTGAGAGTTGGTTATGGCGGACTTAGCTGGGCCTCCTCCTGGCAGAAGCTCGCTACTTACGCGTATACCGCAAAATTCTTCTCTTAACGGGCACATTCATTTCATTTGGTGCACTCACGTCCAAGGTTATGGGCACTATATTCTTTGGGTATTTCGCTAAAGTCACGTAGAACAAAAACATTAACAAAAACTCCGACGTTTCCATCGCAACACAAGCAATCGTCCTCCTGATGACGACTGCGTGTGTTCTCCGTGACTTTACCGAAAGGCCCAAAGAATATGAATTCCTGCAGTCACGAGAGCTTTAAGCCAAGTTATGGACACTCACAAGCGAAATAAATAACAAGCAAAAGAGGGGGAGGGAGGGAGGAGGAGAGAGGAGGAGGGAGGAGGAGGAAGAGTCCGGTACGTGTCTCTGCGAACCCCCTCTGAAGGGACGTCTGCGCCAGTTTTTTTAAAACATTCGGGCTGGCCCTGCCTACTCTCCGTCCTGGGTCTAACCAGGCCCCTTGAGAGATCTGGACACAGACCCCCCCCACAATCGTTGAGCTCATGTAGCTCGCATGGCCAGGGTGCCCAAGCGCCTGGTTGAACTGCTCGCCTGGTTACAAAAAAAAAAACATCACCTTGATGCTGGGAAAAATGTCATCTCCCTCAATCAGTTACTAACTCACCCACCCACACATTAATCCACTCACGCACTCATTCACACACTCGCCCACTTGCGCACATATTCACCCACCCACTCGCCGACCCACTCGCGCAATATTACAAACGAGACTGTCCCGGTCGCTCGAGTCTTCTCGCGGTTAGACAACTCGAGACTCTCCCCGCGTGTGTGCGTGCGTGTGTGCGTGTGTGCGTGCGTGCGTCTCCTCCGTCTCCGTGCGAGCGCGCAGCTCAAGAGCACGACGACCGTGGCGTCGAGTCCGCGGTTCCCGCGCGACCGCGTGTGGCTCAACGGGAAGGAGGAGGACGCGCAGCACCCCCGGCTGCAAGCCTGCCTGCGCGAGAGTGAGATGCACGCACGCACGCACGCACACGTGCGGACGTGGACGCACGCAGACAAAGGCCCCCCGTGTAGCCTTAGCAGGATGTTGGGGCAAGTGCTGTTAGCGAGCAGCACCTGTGAAGGCCGGCACGGCACACGAGGGGGTGGGTGGCCAGCAACCACGCCCGGCCGCCTTTGTCTCCCCGTTGGCGATGTTTACTACGCACCGCACCAGGTGCTACTCATTTGTGGCCGAGTCTACCTGAGGGAGGCCCAGGACCGGTTCAGATAGCTGATATTGGTGGCCATGACATCGTGACCGTTCACCAGCAATCGGAGTGCTCGGTCGCCGGGCGCGCGTTGCCGGGCGCGTGTTGCCGGGGCGGCGTTGCCAGGGCACGCGTTGCCGGGCGCGCGTTGCCGGGGCGGCGTTGCCGGGGTGCAAGGGGCCGCGCTCCCATTGGTCGGTTCCTCCGTGCTGCGACGGCTCCGCAGTTCGTCGCCTCGCGGGGAAGCGGCGGCACGAGGAGGTGGACGCGGAGAGCGACGAGGACGACAACGGCAACCCCAGCGGCGGTGATGGCGGCGGCGGCGGTGATGGCGGCGGCGGCGGCGGCGGTGATGGGCGCCCTCCCCCTCCTCACCATCACCTGCACGTCTGCTCCATCAACAACTTCCCGACGGCCGCAGGACTCGCGTCGTCCGCGTCCGGATACGCCTGCCTGGGTGGGTGGGGTAGTGGGTGGGTGGGTGGGGTAGTGGGTGGGTGGGGTAGTGGGTGGGTGGGTGGGGTAGTGGGTGGGTGGGGTAGTGGGTGGGTGGGGTAGTGGGTGGGTGGGGTAGTGGGTGGGTGGGGTAGTGGGTGGGTGGGGTAGTGGGTGGGTGGGTGGGGTAGTGGGTGGGTGGGGTAGTGGGTGGGTGGGGTAGTGGGTGGGTGGGGTAGTGGGTGGGTGGGGTAGTGGGTGGGTGGGGTAGTGGGTGGGTGGGGTAGTGGGTGGGTGGGGTAGTATAATAGTTTACCCTAACCCATTCACTCATCCACCCACCAACTCACCCACTCATTCACCCACCACCCACTCATTCACCCACCACCCACTCATTCTCCCACCCACTCATTCACTCACCCACTCATTCACTCACCCACTCATTCACTCACCCACCCACACATTCACCCACCACCCACTCATTCACTCACCCACCACCCACTCATTCACCCACCACCCACTCATTCACCCACCACCCACTCATTCACCCACCACCCACACATTCACTCACCCACCCACTCATTCACCCACCCACTCACCCACCCACTCATTCACCCACCCACTCATTCACCCACCCACTCACCCACCCACCCACTCATTCACCCACCCACTCATTCACCCACCCACCCACTCATTCACCCACCCACCCACCCACTCACCTATCCACTGATTCACCTGTTTGAGTTCTCACCTGGCCGTCCCAATCCTCATTCCCGCCCCACCCCCAGCGTACTGTGCGGGGCGCCTGCTGGGCGTGGTGAGCGGCGAGGTGGCGAGGAGCGAGGTGAGCGTGGCCGCGCGTCTCGGCTCGGGCTCGGCGTGCCGCAGCGTCCTGGGCGGCTTCGTGGCGTGGGAGCGCGGCACGCTGCCCGACGGCACCGACAGCGTGGCCCGCTCCGTGCGGCCCCACGGACACTGGCCCCAGCTGAGGGCCCTCGTGCTCGTGGTGAGTCGGCACGCTCGGCACGCTCGGATCAACTCGGATCACCGGTTCACCCGATCACTCGGTTCACCGGATCACTCGGTTCACCGGATCACTCGGTTCACCGGATCACCGGATCACTCGGATCACCGGTTCACTCGGTTCACCGTTTCACCGGCTCAACAAGTAGAGGGATAAGTCGGTGAGTGAATCGGTGGTTGGGTGGGTGATTGATTGGGTAGATAGGTGAGTAGTTGACTAGGTGGGTGTGTGGGTGGGTGTGTGGGTGGGTGGGTGGGTGTGTGGGTGGATAGGTGGGTGTGTGGGTGGGTGTTTGTTTGGGTGGGTGTGTGGGTGGATAGGTGGGTAGGTGAGTGGGTGGGTTGGTGAGTGGTTGACTAGGTGGGTGTTTGTTTGGGTGGGTGAGTGGGTGGGATGGTGATTGGTTGACTAGGTGGGTGTTTGTTTGGGTGGGTGAGTGGGTGGGATGGTGAGTAGTTGACTAGGTGGGTTGGTGAGTAGTTGACTACCTGGGTGTGTGTGTGTTTGTTTGGGTGGGTGTGTGGGTGGATAGGTGGGTAGGTGAGTGGGTGGGTTGGTGAGTGGTTGACTAGGTGGGTGTGTGGGGGTGGGTGTTTGTTTGTTTGGGTGGGTGTGTGGGTGGGTGGGTGGCTGTGTGGGTGGGTGGGTGAGTAGTTGACTAGGTGGGTTGGTGAGTAGTTGACTACCTGGGTGTGTGGGTGGGTGAGTAGGTGAGTGGTTGTATCTCTGGCCCTGTCTCGCCCAGGTGAGCGCTGACCGGAAGCTCGTGGGCAGTACGGCCGGCATGCAGACCAGCGTCCAGACATCGGAGCTTTTGCGGGTGAGTGAGCGAGTGGGTTGGTAAATAAGTGGGTGAGTAGGTACGTGAGTGAGAGAGTGAGTGAGCGGGTGAGTAGGTACGTGAGTGAGTGTGAGCGGGTGAGTAGGTACGTGAGTGAGTGAGTGAGCGGGTGAGTAGATACGTGAGTGAGTGTGAGCGGGTGAGTAGGTACGTGAGTGAGAGTGAGCGGGTGAGTAGGTACGTGAGTGAGTGAGTGAGCGAGTGAGTAGGTACGTGAGTGAGTGTGAGCGGGGTGAGTAGGTACGTGAGTGAGAGTGAGCGGGTGAGTAGGTACGTGAGTGAGTGAGTGAGCGAGTGAGTAGGTACGTGAGTGAGTGTGAGCGGGTGAGTAGGTACGTGAGTGGGTGAGTGAGCGAGTGAGTAGGTACGTGAGTGAGTGTGAGTGGGTGAGTAGGTACGTGAGTGGGTGAGTGAGCGGGTGAGTAGGTACGTGAGTGAGTGTGAGCAGGGTTAGTAGGTACGTGAGTGAGTATGAGTAGGTATGTGAGTGAGTGTGAGCAAGTGGGTGAAGGAATGGTGGGAGGCTGGGGTGAGTCTGTATATGGGAGGGTGAGTGGTTGAGTGATTTAGTGGTGGGTAAATTGGTGAGTGAGTGTAGGTGAGTTAGGGAGTCCATATCAACGTCACGTCTCCCCCAGGTCTCCCCCAGGTCTCCCTCTGTCTCCCTCTGTCTCCCTCTGTCTTCTACAGGTCTCCCTCAGGTCTCCCTCTGTCTCCCTTTGTCTTCCTCTGTCTCACCCAGATCTCCCTGTCTCCCTCTGTCTCCCCCAGGTCTCCCTCTGTCTTCTACAGGTCTCCCTCTGTCTCCTCCAGGTCTCCCTCTGTCTTCTACAGGTCTCCCCCAGGTCTCCCTCTGTCTCCCCCAGGTCTCCCTCTGTCTCCCCCAGGTCTCCCTCAGTCTCCCCCAGGTCTCCCTCCGTCTCCCTCTGTCTCCCTTCGTCTCCCTTCGTCTCCCTCTGTCTCCCTCTGTCTCCCTCTGTCTCCCTCTGTCTCCCCCAGGTCTCCCTCTGTCTCCCTCCATCTCCCTCTGTCTCCCTCCATCTCCCTCTGTCTCCCCCAGGTCTCCCTCTGTCTCCCCCAGGTCTCCCTGTCTCCCTCTGTCTCCCTCTGTCTCCCTTCGTCTCCCTTCGTCTCCCTCTGTCTCCCTCCATCTCCCTCTGTCTCCCCCAGATCTCCCTCTGTCTCCCTCTGTCTCCCTCTGTCTCCCCCGCGTCTCCCTCCGTCTCCCTCTGTCTCCCTCTGTCTCCCCCAGGTCTCCCTCTGTCTCCCTCCATCTCCCTCTGTCTCCCCCAGGTCTCCCTCCGTCTCCCTGCACCTCTTCCCGCGTCTCGCTTGCACCGTACGTAGCCCCGACCGTGTGCCTCGTGTCTCCCCGCGTGTCTCCCCGCGTGTCTCCCCGCGTGTCTCCCCGCGTGTCTCCCCGCGTGTCTCCCCGCGTGTCTCCCCGCGTGTCTCCCCGCGTGTCTCCCCGCGTGTCTCCCCGCGTGTCTCCCCGCGTGTCTCCCCGCGTGTCTCCCCGCGTGTCTCCCCGCGTGTCTCCCCGCGTGTCTCCCCGCGTGTCTCCCCGCGTGTCTCCCCGCGTGTCTCCCCCCCCCGCCGTGCCGCCCCAGCTGCGAGCCGAGCTGGTGGTGCCGCAGCGCATGGCGGCGGTGTCTGCGGCGGTGGCGGCGCGCGACTTCCCGGCTTTCGCCGAGCTCTGCATGCGCGACAGCAACCAGTTCCACGCGACGTGCCTGGACACGTTCCCCCCGCTCGCCTACCTCACGGACGCCTCGCGCGCCATCGTGGCGTTCGTCCACGCGCTCAACCGCGCCAGCTCACGCACCGTGGTGAGCTGCGGTGGCGGTGAGAGTCGGGGGCCCACCTTGGGGGGGGGGGGTGAGGGGGTGAGCGGGGGTGGACCGGTGTGCGAGCGTGTCGGCAGCGGCTGTGTGTGTGTGTGTGTGTACTAGGGGAGAGGTAGTGTAGCGGGTAGCGCTACGAACCCGGCGACCCGGGTTCGATTCCCGCTCGCGGCCGACAACACCGATGACGATTGTCTGAACCGGTGCTGGGCGTCCCCTAGGTTGACTCGGCCTCAAATGAGTACCTGGTGTGTAGTAAACATCGCCACTGGGGAGACAAAGGCGTGCTGGGCGTGGTGCTGGCCGCCCACCCCCCCTCGTGTACAGTTCCGGCCTTCATAGGTGCTGCTGCTCGCTAACAGCACTTGCCCCTACAGTCTGGTACAGGCTATATGGGGGATCTTTGTCTTAGTTATTTTTGTCTGTGTGTCTGCGTGTCTGTGCCGCGCGTGTCTGCGTGTCTGTGCCGCGCGTCTGTGTGTCTGTGCGTGTGTCGGCGTGTCTGTGCCGCGCGTGTCTGTGGGCGCGTCTGCGTGTCTGTGCGTGTGTCTGTGTGTCTGCGCGTGTGTCTGCGTGTCTGTGTTGCGCGTCTGCGTGTCTGTGCCGCGCGTGTCTGTGGGCGCGTCTGCGCGCATCTGCGCTACAAGTCCGGCTTGTCGTCCGAGTTGGCTTCCCCACTCACTCAAACAATAAAAACCCGCTCAATGTCGACAAAGGCGTCCGGGGCACACGTGCGTGCCACACCGCCCCCCCCCGAAGGTGACACGTGCGTGCCACACCGCCCCCCCCCCCCCCCCCCCCCCGAAGGTGACACGTGCGTGCCACACCGCCCCCCCCCGAAGGTGACACGTGCGTGCCACACCGCCCTCCCCCCCCCGAAGGTGACACGTGCGTGCCACACCGCCCCCCCCCCCCCGAAGGTGACACGTGCATGCCACACCGCCCCCCCCTCCCCCCCCCCCGAAGGTGACACGTGCGTGCCACACCGCCCCCCCCCCCCGAAGGTGACACGTGCGTGCCACACCGCCCCCCCCCCCGAAGGTGACACGTGCGTGCGCGGTGCGTTGTCCGTGCAGGCCGCGTACACGTTTGACGCTGGCCCCAACGCGGTTTTGTTCGTGCTCGAGGGAGACGCCGGGGCCCTGCTGGGACTGCTGCGGCGCTGCTTCCCTCCCGCCGACCGCCACGACAACGGAGAATCGTGAGGGCCCCCCTCCCCCCCTCCCCCCTCCCCCCTCCCCCCTCCCCACTCCTCCTCCTCCTCCTCGCCAGTGACGATGTTTACGCTCCGCTGCGCCAGGGTACTCGGTTAAGGCTGAGACGACCTAGGGGAGGCCCAGGAGCTGTTTGTCGGGGAGCACGCTAACCGCCGTGTCACCGCTCGCCACGCACGCACGCTTATAGTCGCATACAAAGACAAAGGTCCCCCGTGTAGGCTTTCACAGAGGGTTGGGACAAGTGCTGTTAGCGAGCACCTATTGAGTGCAGCGGTTTGCCGCAGGTGGTGCATCTGCCGGTCATTTTAGTCGGTCAACCCATGGCACCTGGGTCTGTCCCGTGACCTTCTGCTGCACCTAGCCTGGCACAGCAGTCAACCCATGGCACCTGGGTCTGTCCCGTGACCTCCTGCTGCACCTAGCCTGACACAGCAGTCAACCCATGGCAGCTGGGTCTGTCCCGTGATCTACTGCACCTAGCCTGGCACAGCAGCCAACCCATGGCACCTGCTGGGTCTGTCCCGTGATCTCCTACTGCACCTAGCCTGGCACAGCAGTCAACCCATGGCACCTGGGTCTGTCCCGTGACCTCCTACTGCACCTAGCCTGGCACAGCGGTCAACCCATGGCACCTGCTGGGTCTGTCCCGTGATCTCCTACTGCACCTAGCCTGGCACAGCAGTCAACCCAAGGCACCTGCTGGGTCTGTCCCGTGACCTCCTACTGCACCTAGCCTGGCACAGCAGTCAACCCATGGCAGCTGGGTCTGTCCCGTGACCTCCTACTGCACCTAGCCTGGCACAGCAGTCAACCCAAGGCACCTGGGTCTGTCCCGTGACCTCCTACTGCACCTAGCCTGGCACAGCAGTCAACCCAAGGCACCTGCTGGGTCTGTCCCGTGACCTCCTACTGCACCTAGCCTGGCACAGCAGTCAACCCAAGGCACCTGGGTCTGTCCCGTGACCTCCTACTGCACCTAGCCTGGCACAGCAGTCAACCCAAGGCACCTGCTGGGTCTTGCATTGCTCTGCGAGTCACTGAGATCGGCGTTGAGGAACACGTGGATTAGAGAACACACCCAGGGTAGAGACATCATCATCATATTGATCTTCATCCAGCAGTGTGTAGACAATGATGATGATGACGACGACGCTGTGTGTGTGTGTGCGCGTACGTACGCATGCGTGTCTGTGTGTGTGCTTACATACATATGTGCGTGTGTGCGCGCGTATGTGCGCGTGTGTGCGTTCGAATGTACGCGTGTGGGTGCGTGTGTGTGTGTGCGTGTATGTACGTGTGCATGCGTACGTGTGTGTACGTGTGTGTACGTGTGTGTACGTGTGTGTACGTGTGTAGGTTTATCCGAGGCCTCCCTGTCGAGGCTGTGAAACCCAGCGCTGAGCTGGAACAAAAACTGAAGTTTGACCCCTGCCCTGGCATCATCCGCTACATCATCAGCACCCAGGTGCAGACGCTCACTCGCTCCCTCACTCACTCAGTCGCTCACTCAATCACTCGGTCGCTCACTCAATCACTCAGTCGTTCACTCGCTCACTCAGTCGCTTACTCAATTACTCAGTCGCTCACTCAGTCGTTCACTCGCTCGCTTCCTCACTCAGTCGCTCACTCAATCACTCAGTCGCTCACTCACTCACTCAATGAATCAGTCGTTCACTCGCTCACTCAATCACTCAGTCGTTCACTCGCTCACTCCCTCACTCAGTCCCTCACTCAATCACTCAGTCGCTCACTCAGTCGTTCACTCGCTCGCTTCCTCACTCAGTCGCTCACTCAAATACTCAGTCGCTCACTCAATCACTCAGTCGTTCACTCGCTCCCTCACTCAGTCGCTCACTCAATCACTCAGTCGCTCACTCAATCACTCAGTCGCTCACTCCTTCACTCAGTCGCTCACTCCCTCACTCAGTCGCTCACTCAATCACTCAGTCGCTCACTTAATGAATCAGTCGTTCACTCGCTCACTCAATCACTCAGTCGTTCACTCGCTCCCTCATTCATTCGCTCAATCAGTCGCTCAACTCAATCACTCAGTTGCTCACTCAAGGAATCAGTCGTTCACTCGCTCACTCCCTCACTCAGTCGCTCACTCAATCACTCAGTCGCTCACTCAATCACTCAGTCGCTCACTCAATCACTCAGTTGTTCACTCGCTCGCTCCCTCACTCAATCACTCAGTCGCTCACTCAATCACTCAGCCGCTCACTCAATCAATCAGTCGCTCACTCGCTCACCCCCTCACTCACTCGCTCACTCCCTCACTCAGTCGCTCACTCAATCACTCAGTCGTTCACTCGCTCACTCCCTCCTCACTCGCTCACTCACACGTTCACTCACTCACACACTTTCTCACTGGTACACAAAGACAAAAGATCTCCAGTTTAGCCTTAACAGATGTTAGGGGCAAGTGCTGTTAGCGATTAGCACCTATGAAGGCCGGCACGGCACACGAGGGGGTGGGTGGCCAACACCACGCCCGGCCGCCTTTGTCTCCCCAGTAGCGATGTTTACTACACACCGCACCAGGTACTCATTTGAGGCCGAGTCTCGGGTCGCCGGATTCGTAGCGCAGCGTAGCACTAACTGCTACACCACCGCTCCCCACTACACACACACACAGTCGCTCACACACCCGCTCACACACTCGCATCACTTGCACAGTCGTACACTCGCTCGCACACCCGCCCACTCGCTCACCCGCCCACTCACACCGCCCGCTCACACCGCCCGCTCACACCGCCCGCTCACCCACTCGCTCACCCGCTCACCCTCCCTCCCCTCCGCTCCCCCTAGGTGGGCCCGGGACCCCAGGTGTTGTCGGACCCCGACTCTCACCTCTTGGGCCCTGACGGCCTCCCCAAGGCTCCGTGACCACGGCCCCAGCTCAAACCTAGAGGCACGGACGTCTGGGGCTAGCGGCTTCTGTGCGTGCGTGCGTGCCAGGGAGTGTGTGTGTGTGTGTCCACGCGAGTGTCTGAGATGGTGTGGGTGTGTCCGCACGTGAGTCTGCCGGATGTTACGCACGTTGAACTTCGTTCGCACCGTACGTAGCCAACCGCTCTAATCGAAGGTGCGGAGGAATGAGAACAAACTACTAAACAACAACAACAAGAAGCAGTTTTAAAGAAACGAGTTTTAAATCTAGACGATGATTTGTAATTGCACAGCTCAAGTGGCTTCCTAACATCGGAAGGCAGAGGCATTCCAGACGGCCGCAGAAGCCGCCACTGCTGCCGCTGCGAGGATGACCGGAGTCCGCGTGATGACGGTTCACGCTCCTTGGATTTTGCGGTTAATTTGTGGCCAGCGCTTTGTGCGCGGCGAGTGGATATTTGCCCCATCGGTCAGTGACGGGCAAGGTGGGCAATCTTTGTGTCGTGCGGTTCATGCTGCGCGTGATGCCGTGTGATGTCGACGCAGCCGTGTGAAAAGTCAGCGTTAGCGCGGGCCTGTCCTGTGTGCTTGTGTAACAGGGCGAGTGGGTGGGTGAGCGAATGCATGGGCGAGCGAATGAGTGAGTGAGCGAGCGAGCGAGCAGATGTCTGTGGGTAAACTTAGCGGGGGTGAGCGAGTGGGTGGGTGGGTGGGTGAGGATGGGTAGCTGAGCGCCACGGTGTGACCACGCAGATTCCTTGTCAATCCACAATTGGAAAACTTTGATCAGACGATGTAGACTGGAGGAATCCGACGAGCTGCGAAGCTCTTTTAAAACAAATAATTTTGAAGACGTCCGGTAAAGTTTCCCACCGCTGAAGGTCGTGGCCCCCCACTACCTTTGTAAAGTTGCCCGTCGGGCGGGCAACTTTGATTCGCTCGGCGTGGACGCTGGGTGGTGGAGGGTTCTGGCGTGAGCGGTGGCCAGGCCGGCCACCTCCGCCACTGCTGTGGCTCAGCGCTGTGGAGGCAACAGCAGCAGCGAGGATTGGTGGATCACGCACAGATGGGTCGTGAAACTGCCTTCCCCTAACCGTGGTGGGGGGGGGGGGGGTGTCAAGGGGGGGCCAGGTAGAAGCAGAGTGTGTGGCCTAATCTCCATCTGTTTATTCCATCTGTACGGGGGTGGTGGGGGGGTGGGTGAGGGGATAGAGCGTTGCCCCCTCGCGCAAGGCGCGCGTGTGGTGGTTTTCTCCCGCGGGCTCCGGTTTTCTCCTCCCCGCGTGAATAATAAACGCCGCTCGCCGTTAACTCGCCGTGGATATTCTGAACCTCGTCTCTCGCAGTGAAGGGCCTCTCGCCTGTTGAGTACCCGGGGGGGAGGAGGTGAGGCGTGGGGGTTGTGTTCGATGCGGCTGCCCTACGCGTTACAAAGTGGCACCCCCCCCCCAGCGGCAGCCGCCCCCCTGTGCAGCGCGAGGTGACTGCTGCACCCGGCCTGCGAGCTGGCGGCGTTTGTCGGAAGCCAGTAGGTGGGGCGGTGGCGATAGCAGCAGCTGCTGCTGCTGCTGCTGCGATCCCGACCGAGGAAACTCGCGGTTGTTGCTCCCTCTCAACGTTTGTCCGCGAAGCGTTTTGAACGGCGACGCCGCCGGCACGCCGCGCCCTCGCTCCTGCAACGCCCCAAGTGACCTTGACTTAAAGCGTTCGTGACTGCGGGAATTCATGTTCTTTGGGTCGTGGGGTAAAGTCGCGAATGTAGGTTCAAAGAAAATAACAGACGACACATTTTGTTCATTTTTTGTTGTTGTTTTCTTCGAAACCCCTCCGCGTGACTTTACCCAAAGACCCAGGAATGTGAAGCCCCAAGTGACGTCGCGGGATCCTTTGACGTCCCAAGTGACGTCGCGGGATGCTTTGACGTCCTAAGTGACGTCACGGGATCCTTTGACGTCCTAAGTGACGTCACGGGATCCTTTGACGTCCTAAGTGATGTCGCGGGATCCTTTGACGTCCTAAGTGACGTCACGGGATCCTTTGACGTCCCAAGTGACGTCACGGGATCCTTTGACGTCCCAAGTGACGTCACAGGATCCTTTGACGTCCGCCGAGAGTGAAGAGTCTGCTGGCGCGTTGAGAGGTTCTGTTACCATCAACTCACCGCCGCGGTGGGTGGTTACCCCCCGGTGGTGGTTACCCCACGGTGGTGGTTACCCCCCAGTGGTTACCCCACGGTGGTGGTTACCCCCCGGTGGTTACCCCCCGGTGGTGGTTACCCCCCAGTGGTGGTTACCCCCCAGTGGTTACCCCACGGTGGTGGTTACCCCCCGGTGGTTACCCCCCGGTGGTGGTTACCCCCCGGTGGTGGTTACCCCCCGGTGGTTACCCCCCGGTGGTTACCCGGTGGTGGGTCCCCACGGTGGTTACCCCACGGTGGTTACCCCCCGGTGGTTTTCCCACGGTGGTTACCCCGGTGGTGGGTCCCCCCCGGTGGTTACCCCCCGGTGGTTACCCGGTGGTGGGTCCCCACGGTGGTTACCCCACGGTGGTTACCCCCCGGTGGTTTTCCCACGGTGGTTACCCCGGTGGTGGTTACCCCCCGGTGGTTACCCCCCGGTGGTGGTTACCTCGGTGGTGGTTACCCCGGTGGTTACCCCCCGGTGGTTACCCCCCGGTGGTGGTTACCCCGGTGGTTACCCCCCGGTGGTTACCCCACGGTGGTGGTTGCCCCGGTGGTTACCCCCCGATGGTTACCCCACGGTGGTTACCCCCCGGTGGTGGTTGCCCCCCGGTGGTGGTTGCCCCCCGGTGGTTACCCCACGGTGGTGGTTGCCCCCCGGTGGTTACCCCACGGTGGTTACCCCGGTGGTGGTTACCCCCCGGTGGTAGTTACCCGGCCTGCTGCTGCTGCCGGATTCGAGCCACGGGAATCTCCGCAAGCAACGGGCGGCGCTAGCGGCTGGGCCGCGTCGCCAACTTGCTCCGTCCACTGCTGGATGGCTTGCCGAGCCCTATAGAGGCTGGGGGCCACGGCGGCGGGGATATTGACTCCATCGCCTGGTACTCAGGAGGTCGTGGGTTCAATCCCGGCCCTGACGCCTGCTGCTGCTGTATATTTGGAGTTTGCGTCTCATCACGGTGGCTAGGAGATGTCAACTACCTCGCCTGGTATACAGGAGATCGTGGGTTCGATGCCGGCCCTGACGCCTGCTGCTGCTGTATATTTGGAGCCTGCGTGTCTCTCTCATCATCATCACGGTGGCTGGGAGATGTTGACTACCTCGCCGGGTACACAGGAGGTCGTTGGCTCTATTCTGACCCTGACGCCTGCTGCTGTATATTTGGGAGTTTGTGTGTGTCTCTCTCTCTCCCTGTGGTCACTGCGTGGATTTTACCCCGGGTCCTCCGGTTTTTCCCTTCCACATTAAGTATCACCACGCGTTTAGAGTCTTTGGCTGCTGCTATAAATGAATCGATTGGCGGTGACCCGGGGGGGCTGCCCAAACCTCCATAACTCCGAGACCAGAAGGCCTACGAAGACGGGAGATGTCACTGAGCCCGATGCGCACGCCAAATATGGAAATAAAAAACAAACGCAAACCACCCGTAAACAAGGGGGGCTGCTGGGGTATTTGTGCGTGGCAACGGCTGTTTATCGCTTGTTGTGAAAGTACATCGGGATGCTGGTCCGGTCATTCCCCGGCACGTTCTGCTTCTTACGGTGGGCGGTCCACCCCCCTTGTCTTTGTGAGCGAGACCACTTGGAGGCAATGGCGCACCAGGCGCTCGCTTGCTACGGCCGGCGGTCACGGTCGTGCTGGCGGGATGGACATCGTCGTCATCATCATCGCTCCCAGCGTCGCCCTCCGGCAGGACAGGGTGGTAGTACCAGCGATGCTCCCAGAAAAAAAACCCTTCAACTATGCCCGGCCCACCAATATTTTGCGGTGACCCGGGCTACCGCCAATCGATTCAAATGTCCACGTGATGACGATGATGAGCTATCATTTGTGCGGTCGCTTCTGATCAAGAGCTACGTTGTAGCTCCGTGGGGCCTTGGTAAAATGAAATAAAACGTAGTTTGGTCTGGTTAAATAAAAAAAACATGGATAGAGGAAAACAGGGAACAGCTTTTTGAGAGGTGAGAGGCGTCACTCCGGTCGAGTGGAGAGAGTGGTGGGAGAGAGTGGTGGGAGAGAGCGGGTGAGAGGGCAGCACCAATGAAGCGACGTCACAGAGTTCGGAGGTCACTGCTGGACACAAGGCAGCTGGAGAGAGGGAGGGGGGTGGGATGGATGGGGGACGCCTGTGGCCAGCAGTGGGGAGTTACATAGAGACCCATAGACTCACCACACAGAGACCCATAGACTCACCACACAGAGACCCATAGACTCACCACACAGAGACCCATAGACTCACCACACAGAGACCCATAGACTCACACAGACCCATAGACTCACACAGAGACCCATAGACTCACACAGAGACACATAGACACCACACAGAGACCCATCGACTCACACAGAGACACAGACTCACCACGCAGAGAGTTATAGACTCACCACACAGACCCATCACACAGACCCATCGACTCACCACACAGAATCATTAGCTCACCACACACAGACCCATAGACTCACCACACAGAATCATTAACTCGCCACACACAGACCCATAGAACTACGCACACGTGAACTCTAAGACAAATATTTTTTGTATCGCCTTTAACAGACTTTTTAGTGCAAGTGCTGTTAGCAAGTAGCACCTCTGAAGGCCGGAACGGCACACGAGGGGGTGGGTGCCCAGCACCACGCCCGGCCGCCTTTGTCTCCCCAGTGGCGATGTTTACTACACACCACACCAGGTGCTCAGTTGTGGCTGAGTTGACTTAGGGGAGCTCCAGGACCGGTTCAGATAATCGTCACTGGTGGTGTTGGCCGTGAACGGGAATCGAACTCGGGTCGGCAGGTTCGTAGCGCAGTGCGCTAACCGCTACACTATCACACCCCACACCCAACCACGCACACACACACGCACACACCGACACACACACCGACACACACGCACACACACACACCGACACGCCGACACGCCCCCTCCCGTGTTAAATGGCTCTCTCTGTGTTGGGCGCCTACACTTCAGTCTAAATTAGCGGTCGTTAGGCGTGGAGACGGGGAGGGGGTGGAGGGGAGGGTGGTGGCTGTCGTGGTGGAGGAGGTGGTGGGGGTGGTGGTGCAGGGGGAGGAGGTGGTGGAGGAGGTGGTGGGGGTGGTGGAGGAGGTGGCGGTGGAGGAGGTGGTGGGGGTGGAGGAGGTGGTGGGGGTGGTGGTGGTGTTGGAGGAGGTGGTGGTGGAGGTGGAGGTGGTGGTGGAGGAGGTGGTGGTGGAGGAGGTGGTGGTGGAGGAGGAGGAGGTGGTGGAGGAGGTGGTGGAGGAGGTGGTGGAGGAAGAGGTGGAGGTGGAGGAGGAGGTGGAGGAGGAGGTGGTGGAGGAGGTGGTGGTGGAGGAGGTGGTGGAGGAGGTGGAGGAGGAGGTGGAGGAGGAGGTGGAGGAGGAGGTGGAGGAGGAGGTGGAGGAGGAGGTGGAGGAGGAGGTGGAGGAGGAGGTGGTGGAGGAGGTGGTGGAGGAGGTGGTGGAGGAAGAGGTGGAGGAAGAGGTGGAGGTGGTGGAGGAGGAGGTAGAGGAGGAGGTGGAGAAGGAGGAGGTGGAGTTGTAGCGCACCGCGCTACGAACCTGGCGACCCGAGTTCGATTCCCGCTCACGACCACCAACACCGAGTGACGATTATCTGAACCGGTCCTTGGCCTCCCCTAGGTCGACTCAGCCTCAAATGAGTACCTGGTGCGGTGTGTAGTAAACATCGCCACTGGGGAGACAAAGGCGGCCGGGCGTGGTGCTGGCCACCCACCCCCTCGTGCGCCGTGCCGGCCTTCAAAAGTGCTGCTCGCTAACAGCCCTTGCCCCTACAGGCTGTGAAGGCTACACGGGGGATCTTTGTCTTTGGAGGAGGAGGAGGAGGAGGGGGGATGGTGTAGATCCCAGTGGGGGGTGTGAGGGAGGGGGCGAGGGGGCAGGTTGCTGAAGGATTGAGGGGGTCTGTGCCGGTGGCAATTGGCGTCTGAAAGTCTAGATAAGTTACACACTCACACGTACACACACACTCACACACACTCACACACATATACACACACATACACTTATACATACATATACACAATACTTACACACTCATACACACACATATATACACATATACTCACATACACATACACTCACACACATATACACACGTACATACACACATACACTCACACATTA